TTCCCTGCAGGCAGAGATTGCACGGGTTCAGAGCATCCGAGTGCCGGCTGACAAGATCTTCTACAGCAGCCCCTGCAAGCAGGTTGCCCACATCAAATACGCAGCCAGCCACGGTGTCCAGCTGATGACCTTCGACAATGAGGTGGAGCTGAGCAAGGTGGCCAGGAGCCACCCTCAGGCCAGGTGGGTGTCTGGCAGCATCGCTGGAATGAGGGGCTGGAGCGGGAGCTGGGGAGATGGCCGTGGGGTGACAGAGGGCCCAAAGACACCTCAACACAGAGTGGCTTTGCTCTGCAGGGTGTTGTTGGGTGTTGCTGCTGACTCCGGCCCTCCTGCCCTTCCGGGCATGATGTTTGGGACCACGCTCAAGTCCTGCCGGCACCTGCTAGAGACAGCGAAGGAACAGGCTGTGGAGGTTGTTGGCATCAGGTACAGCACATGGTCCTTTTTCTACAGGGGTGCTCTGCCCATGTTGGAGGGGACTGTGGGGAGCTCTGGCCTGCTGGAACAACGCAGGGTTCCATGGAGCCACCTGCTGTTCTGGCTGAGAGTGAAGTGGAGGCTGGATTTGGGGAGGTTGACCCTTGTTATGACCAATGTGGGGCAACTTTGGCCCTCAGAGAAGGTGTGGGGACCTCTGTGGGGCTGGTCAGGCAGTCTGGCTTGGGATGGTGCGTAGGAAGTGCAAAGCTGCCTCCAGTGAGTGACAATCCCAGTGCTGTGTCCCTTTGCTGCTCTCTGGGAATGGGCAAGCCTTGCTGAAACACGAACTGTGTCCTCAGCTTTCACCTTGGGAGCCGTGGTCTGGAGCCCCAGACCTTCGCTCAGGCTGTGGCTGTGGCACAGCTGGCCTTTGAGATGGGCACAGAGCTGGGCTACCAGATGCACCTCCTGGACATCGGAGGAGGATTCCCTGGCACTGAGGACACCAGAGCCCGGTTTGAAGAGGTATGCGACTCCCAGTGCTTGCAGTCAGCTGGCGGAGAGCAAGGCTGGAGGCTCTCCCTGGGTCTGGCTCCCTGCAGAGGGGCTGAGCTAACCGAGGGGCAACATCTTCTTCCCATCCAGATCGCTGCCGTGATAAACTCTGCCTTGGACTTGTATTTCCCAGACGGTTGCGGGGTGGACATCATTGCAAGACCCGGACGATACTACGTCACCTCTGCCTTCACCTTTGCTGCCAGCATCACTGCCATGGATGAGGTTCCTGCAGAGCAACCTGGCTCTGATGGTGGGTGGGATGGTGGGATGGTGGGATGGGCTGACCCATGTGCCCGAGCCCCCCTCAGCCCTCTCCCTGCTCCCCTCCAGAGGAAGAATCTGGCAGCAAGAGGAGCCTCGTGTATCACCTCAGCGATGGCATCTACGGTGCTTTCAGCTGCCTCCTGTTTGACAGCCCCTGCCCCAGACCTCAGCTGCAGAAGGTGAGGGTCTGGCCCAGCTTGAGGAGACCCCAGTGGGTCCCTCGCATTGTGTCCCGTTGTCTCACCCAACTCTGCTCTCCCTTGCATCGTGGCTGCCCCAGGCTCTGTGCCGGAGGAGAGCAGAGTCTGTGAGGAAGAGGCTACGGTGGTGTACCAGGAGAACTGTAGACAGACTCCGTGAGCTCCTGGGGTCAGACTTCAGGGTTGGAGTGAGGGTGGTGAGCCCCTGGCGCAGGTTGCCCCGAGAAGCTGTGGCTGCCCCATCCTTGGAGGTGTTCAAGGCCAGGTTGGACGGGGCTTGGAGCAACCTGGGCTGGTGGGAGGTGTCTCTGCCCAGGGCAGGGGGGTGGAACTAGATGAGCTTTAAGGTCCCTTCCAACCCAAACCATTCTATGGTTCTATGATTCAGGGTGGATGGAGATGAAGCAGGTCCCTGTGGCACTGCTGCATTCTCATCCCCTGCGGCTGCTCCGTCTTTCCCCTGCAGAGACCCTGCCCAGACCACCCCTTGCACAGCAGCAGCCTCCGGGGACCCCCAGGACACGGGGAAGACTGCATTGCCGATGGCCTGGAGCTGCCCCAGCTGCAGGTCGGGGACTGGCTGATTTTCAAGGACATGGGTGCCTACACCATCGCAACCTCCTCCTTGCTTGGGGAGCGTCCCCAGCCACAGATCACCTATGCCATGTCCCACGTGGCCTGGTAAGAGACGGTCCTGTGTGAGCAGGGCGAGGGGGCAGGGCTGGATCCCGTGGGAGATGTTGGGATTCCTTCCAGCTGGGCTCTTTGCCCAGGGGAGAGGGTCAAATCTGAGTCCCAGAACCTGGAGATTCAGGGTGAAATACTGGCCTCAGAGGCAAAACTTGTATTTTTTTAAACATTGACAGACTTGAGCCAGTTTTTCACTGGGGAAGCCACAGGCAGCTCGGCTCTGGCTGTTGCTCTGAGGGATGTGACATCCCCCAAGCTCCCCCTTCCCCGGGCCCATCCTGCAGCATTTCGGGGGGGGCTGGTCCCCCTTGCTCCCCCTTGGGTGTCTCCCGCTTGCAGGAAAGCCGTCCAGCTCTTCCAGGGAAAGCCACCGCAAACAGAAGATGACCACGAGACCGTCTGCGCCCCGCTGTCCTGCGGCTGGGAGATGGCAGAGACGCTCTGCGCCACCCCGGTCTTCGCTCCGGCCAGCATCATCTGAGTAGCACCGGTACCCGGGGTGGGGGTGAAGGTGCCATGTGCCGCCGGCGTCACCCCACTCCACTCTCCCGGGGGACCTGCGGCGAGGACTTGGGAGTGTGCACCATAAACCCTGTTCCTCCTGCTCTTGCAGTATCGTGTGCCCGCTAACGGGGGGGTGGGTGGCGCCAAGCAGGCTTGGGTTCTTTGTTTTTTTAAGAGTTATGGTAATAAAGGGTTGTCCATCACGGCTCGGGGTCCCGTGGGAGGAGACCCCCGGCGCCTCTTCCCCGCCCTGTGCCGGAGGATCAGTCTGCCATAAGCAGCTGCGTAACGAGGCTTTGCTCTTTAGGGAAGGTGGGGATGCTCATCCAAAGCTTGGACGCTGTTCAGGCTTCCGAAGGGACCACTGGGATTTGGGGGGGGAGGGGGTATGGAAATAGCGCGGTGGGCTCTGGGATGTATTACTGGGGGGACTGATCCCCAAGCGCTCGTCAGCCCTAACAAAGCGCCTTGCCCCTGGGATGTGTGTGGAGGTCCCGCACAGGTACAGCGCTACGGTGGGGGGAGACGGGGACCGGGAGGCCATAAATCTGAAGAAAGGGGATGCTGTGAGAGCCTGAAAGCTGGGAACTGGGGGAACTGGGGGCCACTGGGAGCGCCCTGAGGCATCAGAGAGGGGTGCGCTTGGAGCAATGGGACACTGGGGGGAGACTGAGGGACACTGGGGCACTGGGGTGGGGACACTGGGAGCACTGGGAGGACACTGGGAGCGCTGGGAGAGCCCCGGACGCTGCCGCAGGGGCCGGCAGGGGGCGCT